GGGTAGAGAACTTAAGGAAGCCACTGCCCTGATCGGAAGCCATCTGCAGGTGTCATTTCTGGTGAGCAATGTATGGATGACATCTTCTCTAGAGCACCTGGCCTTAAAGATGGAAAAACTAAGGCAGTCAAGTACTCCATGCCTTGTAGAGTCAGGTCTTAAGAATTATAAATCATCATAAAGGTGTAAATGGCTGTGCCTTTCTGGAGAAAATCTGGTAGCCCTTCAGAGGTTGCTGATGATATATACAGTTACTGGGATTTGCATATCAGGTGGTTGGCCACACGCCCACAGGAGAGGGAAAGTTCTGAAGACTTCCACAAAGAAACATACCACAAAGGATTGTGGAGCGCAGTTTGGGAGATGAGACCCAATGGGCCTCGGAAGGATCAAATGAGTACTTCACCCTCCATGTTCCCATGGATTTCACTGTGAATAGAAATAACTCAAGGGGAAAAAGAGAAGTGTAATGAAGCAATATCTGAGAACAAGACCAAAGAGGGAAGTCAGGTTCAGAGATGTCGATCCAATCCAGGATCTGAAGCTTGTGTAGGTTTGACTGGGCTCCTCATCAACAGGTGCTGGACATACGAGATGATCGCCCCGCTTCTGGCCACGGACTTTCTCAAACAAGTGGGAGCTGATGTCTTTTAACTTGCTTCCAAATGTAATTTAAATTAGTTGGGCTGGAGAGACAGAAGGAACAGCTGTGTGCTCCTTAGTGCACAGTATAGCCCTGTTTGTTTGGTGGGGACACAGGGCACAGGTTTTAAAAACCAACAAGGACAAGGGGCACCTGGGTGGCTCAATAGGTTAAGCGTCAGACTCTTGATTTTGGCCCAGGCCATGGTCTCACAGTTCATGGGATCAAGCCTCGTGTGGGGCTCTGCACTGACAGTGTGGAGCCTGCTTGGGACTCTCTCTCTCTCTCTCTCTCTCTCTCTCTCTCAAGCCTTCTCGTGCTTTCATGTGCACTCTCTCTCTCAAAATAAATAAATAAACATTTTTTTAAAGGATAAATGAAAAAGTCCTCTGTGAGGTGGAAACACTTACCTTTCTCTTCCGGTTGTTAAAAGAACTAGCTCTTGAGGCAGGTTGTACATGAGGAGGAAACTCTTTTGTCCCTCACAAAAAGATGATCATGAAATGCTGTTAGGACTAGAGTGGCAAGCTGCGGTGGTCCCACAAAAGGAGCCAGGGTGGAAGGACCCCCAGTAAATGCTGCTTCTTCCTGCTTCTTCGCAGGTCGGTGACCTGCGGCAGAGCCTTGACTTTGAGGGTACCGGAAATATGGCAGAAAAATTCAACCTGTCTTTGTTTTTAGGCCACCTGGGGACTGATTCTTCTGCAACAGATGCCTATCCTCCCCTCATACCCCTGCCTCTTGTGTGGCTAGGTTAGAATGGTGGCAGTCCAGTCTAAGGGACAGAGGAGATACTGTCCCCACATCCAGGCTACCAGGCTGAGTAAGAAAACTGCTCCAAAGTCTTTGCAGGTACAGAAGCCCCAGAGTATTTCTTTTTTTTTTTTTAAACATTTTTTTTTTTTTTTTTTTTTTTTT